GGAGGAGAAAGAAATTGGAGCGGGAGGAGAGATTGACATTCATCACATACACACAATGCACCCCTTGCACACAGAAAAACACACAATGCATTACACACACAGACACACATACACAAACAATGCAACCGTTACACACAATGCATCCCTTACACACACAGAAACACACAATGCATTCATTACACACACTCAATGCACCCCTTACACACATTCAATGCATCCCATACATACACAGAAACACACCTTGCAGCCCTTACACATGCAAACACAATTTCACACAATGCATTCCTTACACACATATCAGGACATCCCCTACACACTCCACCCCTGTGAACAAACTCATTGTTGGAACATGAAGGTGGACCCTGGGACCCAGACCTTGAGCTGTGTAAAGGACCCCCAAAAAATGGAGCTGCTTCCCGTTCTCCCAGAACATTGATTTTTGTGACCACAGTTACAAACAGCCTCCAGAGAGCCTGTTCTACACCAGACCAGTGGAGCCAGACTGCAGCTAGAGCCCATCATCATCCTCATCTGGTTGTAAGTAGGCAATCTAGTATATTATTCGTGGCACTAATCTCTAATTTACCTCACATTAAAGAAACACTATAGTCCCCAGAACCACTTCAGCTTAATGTAGTGGTTCTGGTGTCTATAGCCTGGAAAAGTGGAAAAGTGGGGCGGAGCTAAGCAAAATCAGAGACGGAGCCAAACTGGCACTGGGGGCGGGGCTTTTGGGGGGCAAGGGGGTGCCAAGCACAGGACCCGCCCCTGGGTGCCAAATGCTCTAGGTACGCCCCTGAAGCAAATGGTGGTCACACCAGATACTGACTGCTTTTTCCAGACCCCCCTGGATCCTACCTCCAATATAGTAAAACTGCACATTTTAGAGTGGCATTTTATTGTGGCCAGCCTAAGGCACACCTGTGCAATAATCATGCTGTCTAATCAGCATCTTGATATGCCACACCTGAGGTGGATGGATTATCTCGGCAAAGGAGAAGTGCTCACTAACACAGATTTAGACAGATTTATGAACAATATTTGAGAGAAATAGGCCTTTTGTGTACCTAGAAAAAGTCTTAGATCTTTGAGTTCAGCTCATGAAAAATGGGGGCAAAAACAAAAGTGTTGCGTTTATAAATATATTTTGTTCAGTGTATATGTGTATATAGGTAATGTGGGGCCTGGAACTCCCAGAACAGTCCGAGCCTCCCAGGACTGCTGGGCCCATGATAACCGTCATGGTTGTACCATGTGTGCAACACTTTGAAAGAAATGTCCAAGAGCACAAAACCGTGCCTGCTGCATCGTGGGGAGATCATCAAACAGTGAACTGCATTTATATTTACCTCAACTCTAGTATCCACCCCAATAAGTGATTCACTAGCGTTTAATGGGGTGTGGGACTGAGAAGTAATTTCCTGTTTTAAAGATAACCTATAGTCCTGAAAATAATATTATTATATTCGGGACTATAAATTGCCTGCCATTACAGTAAAGTATGTCCACCTTCTTTTCTTTCGAAAGATGCAACATTAATATATTTAACTTACTTAGCTTTTTTCCGGCACAGCTGCCCGCTCTGCCTCCATTTTTATCAGCAAGCATTCTGAAACTTTCCAACTGCTCATCCAATTCAATGCTTCTCGTGTTTATTTAAATTAGTAGACAAAATAAGCTGCATTGGTAACAAAGCACAGTATCAGACAGAGGGAGGGTCCATGAAATAACGTCACAAAGTGTATAGGTGCACAATTCTCAACCTATCGTGCCTTCCTGTGCTTTCTGTCTGGTGGCAAGCTACTAGAGACTTCACAAAAATGCCAACAAGATATTAAATGCACTTGCAGCCAGGTCTGCAAAATCATACACTCACTCACCTTGATATAGGAAAGTACACAAACCTTTAAAATACTGATAAAGGCACTATATGGTAAAACTCTAAACAGATGATTGATCTTCTGCTAAATTCTGTCATGACTCAATTTAGTTACTCTATATTAAATAAGTTGGCCATGCTCCCTATATCATATGTCCTCCCCCCCAAAAATGCTGTGCATGAAATTGATTGCATAACCTTTATATAACGTTTAACAGTCTGTCCTTTTTTAAACCTTGCTGAACGATGCATCCATAGGCCACAGGGTTTTTTTGAATTTACCATTGTTCATACATCAGGGAGTATTACAGTGCTCTAAATATATCATGTATTGGGACAGCTTGTACAAACAAAAAGGATATATTTTACTCAGAACATGAAAAACAAGCAGAGATTATGGTCTAATGTTGTTAGGTTTCAGAAACACTGGGTCTTGAGCCCAAACGAAAACTTGATGACCCCCTACATGACATATTCTATCCTTTTTTATGTTCCCACCTCTACCCATGATCAGCATGCTTTTAATGCTCTTCCAGATCTCAATAAAATATTAGTCAGAAACCATCACATGCTGCACAGCCAGATATTCAATGCGATCCTAACTAGTAGAGGGGTGTGCAGCAACGTTCTGTTCACAAGGACCCATTCCTGATGGTCACTTGACGTGGCTCCACCATCTCCCTAGAAGTAGACTGGTGGAATACTATACTATTGATCTTTATTTGTATAATATGTGGTTGCTTGGAAATTCAGCTGCCTGATGTGAACACAGCAAAAAAACAAAACAAAATACATCCAGTTGCCCTGTCCACTAACTGTAAAGATCCAGGGGTAATAAACCTCTCCCCCCTCGCCCCCCCACCTAGAGCCCCCCGTCCCAGGTAAAGTATTGATTGTTGTTTGATATCAACTGCACACGAGAGTGAAAATGCTCACCATTTTTCAGTTTATTTTTTTGGGGGGCTATGTGTTTGACCGTTTGACATGCCACCATCAGTTGTGCTCCATGCTCCATTAAGTAAATTAGATTTGTTATGGTACTTGGACTGTTTCAGACTTTTTTTTCTTTTTACATAACCAAACAAGGAAATGTGTCACTTACTGGAAACAGTGGCGGATCCAGAAGCTAATCTCAGGAGGGGCA